GAATTCGACGCGTAAAAATCTCGATATCGTAAACAGCCTCATAAAAGTGAACAGAAGACTATATATAACATCGTGACTATATATCATATATATATAAGTATTTATATATATATATATATATAATCAAAATCGCAGCGAATGAATAGAGTGCTATGATTTCATGTTGTAGGCTTGGATGACTTCATGGATCTATGTACATATACGAACTATGTATCCATATATTTTAGCTCGTTTCGACTAAAAACAAAAGTATATCGTAAAAAAAAGGAAAATTTCAATCGTAAAAGATTAATGGAAAAAATTCCACGTTGAAGTTTTACGATTGTGAAACCGATCGCGTGTCTTGTATCTGCTTATTAAAGCTAGGAGTTATAATTCAGGAGTGTATAATATCGATATACATTACCCATATTAATCACTACTGATGTATTTTGCGTAATGATCAAGAGATAATAATTATGTATATTTAGTTAATTACTCTGTAATGGGACTATGTTTCTACTGCATATTTGCTTTGTAAACTGTAGCGATTAAAGTAGCAGTTATAATTTCAGGAGTGTATAATATAGATTATACATTACCAATATTATACACTCCTGATGATTTTGAGTAATGATGACTACTGTTTCTACGGCATGTTTGCCTTTGTAAACTAATAATTAAAGCTAGACGGTGATAATTTCGCGTAACTACGGTTTCTACGCCATGTTTGCCTTTGTAAACTAATAATTAAAGCTAGCTGGTGATAATTTCGCGTAACTACTGTTTTAACGCGCATGTTTGCTTTGTAAACTAATATTAAAGCTAGCTGGTGATAATTTCGCATAACTACTGTTTCTACGGCGTGTGTTTGCGTCTGCGCAGGTTCTCAGCCCTGGACTACGCGTTGATGGGAGAGCACCAGGAGGTGGCGCAGTATTCTGATAGAGGAGGGCGGACTGTCTATCAATCGCATACAGGACATCGGTGTCCAAAGATTCAGGTTAGTCTCTATATTCGAAGTGCGATTCTCTCATTTCGGCTCGATCAGCGAAGAGAGCTGTGGAGGTAATAGTATGTTTATTACGTCATTAAATTTAACTAGTTAATAAACATAACTATATAACATAACATAATTAATATAACACATATAGATATAAATAACATAATATCAGGAATAAGATAATATAGGATCCTATAGATGCCTATAGATCTAGATTCTATAATTATCTTACTCCTGATAATATAACATACCAATTAAACATATAACATAACATATATAGAATAATATTTAAACTCTGTAATAATTATAATACATCAATAATGGTATAATATATATGATTACATATAATAATGTGATATACTACGTATAAATCTTAGGCAGGAGTGCTACGTTATATGTGGTCGTAAGGTTATCCGGTGCCTGCTTATTTGTTTGTTTCAGCACCGAATAAGCGATATGGATTTTTTTGTTCATCAGAGTATGAAATGTGATAGGAATCTTTACTGTTTCTTGCGGCTGTTTCAGGGGCTACAGAGTACGAAAAACGTTGCTGAAAGGAAACTTTGGTTATGAAGGCATGAGAACTCAGAAAAGATGCTGCCATGTAAGCACGTTGCGCCACTATTAGTCCGAAAATACAGATTTTATTATCCTATTAGCAAACGTGCGGAGCTGGTTACATGTTATGGGACGCTTTCATTGCGCCAGGCATATTTTATGCATAGTTTTAAGCATGATGGGCTACTATACTTGCCATGACTATTTTCTCTTAGGAAAACTCGAAGCGAAGAGCTCAGAAAAAGACGAGCGGAGTCAGGCAACTGGGATCTTTTCGACTCGCTGCCACAAACGAGAAGAAACAAAAAGTCAAAACAACAACAACAAGATGAAGCGTCGGCAGAAAATTCTACCGAAGGCTCGAGGAACGGACATTGCACTGGTTTGTGAGGCAAGATATATCGATCGGAGGTCGCGATGAGACGGAAAACGACGAGAATCAGTAAGAAAATCTACGAAGAACGCCATCTGAAGATATCGAAACATCCGCGCTGAAGGAAGTTTATAAGGGCCTTGCTTAACTATCATCACATCACGCTGATGTATATGAATGTTCTGTGATCTCTCTGCCTCTCTGCTCTCATCGCTCTCTCATTTATCTCTCTCTCGTCTCTTCTCTCTCCTGCGTTCTCTCTCTCTCTCTCTCATCCTCTCTCTCTCAACTCTCTCTTCTCAATTTTTCCACAGAACATTATCTTTGATATTAGATTTTTCTTATAATATACCCAATTACAGCGTTTATTTATCTCGTTTGGAAACTGTTGCTAACCGGTTAAATACACGTATCTATCATGAAATAATTTCACTCCCATTTAATCACAAAACCTCCACATGAACTTATTCCAAGATGCAACCGCATCCGCTCTGACCCCGCACCTCCTTCATCCAGGAATTCTCCCGCGACTTTGTGTGACCCCTGTGACCTCTCACCTCGTTGTCCTGGAGGTCAAGGCCACCCACCCCCGGGAATTCTCCCGTGACCTCTCACCTCGTTGTCCTGCAGGTCAAGGCCACCCACCCCCCGGGAATTCCCCCGTGACCTCTCACCTCATTGTCCTGGAGGTCAAGGTCACCCCACCCCCGGGAATTCTCCCGTGACCTCTCACCTCGTTGTCCTGGAGGTCAAGGTCGGCCTGGTTCTCGATGAGCACGGACATGCAGTTGACAAATCCTCCGTAGGCGGCGCACTGCAGCGGTGATCGCCCGGAGTGATCCCGCAGGTCCGGGTCAACGGCGTACGCGGCCAGCGTCAGGCAGATGTACGCGTGCCCGCCCAGCGTCGCCCTGCCGCGTTTTTGTTTGTTAATAATTTCTTGATTTCCAGATTGTTACAAGCACTATATACATACAATCATGCAAGTCAAATATACACGGTAAGAGTATAATAAGTAAGTCCAATATTATACAGACACGTACACAAAGTAGTGATATATACTGTTATATGCTTGAGTATCGTCTGGGAGAAACGTCAACTAGTGGCGAGTAGAGTACATGTAGTAAGTCCTATTGAATCCTCTAGAATCATGTTATAATTACTACATGTAGTAGATCATAATTATATACACTGCCGCATACTCACAGGTATATCGCCCAGCGGCGTTGATGAGGATGACAGAGCTAACACGTTAAATTGTTAATTTGTGGCAACGTACGTGTTTAATGTGTCAAGCAAAGATGAATGTTTCATACGTTCTGTAACGCGCGTAAATTTGTGTTCCATCGTTCTGAATTACATGTAAATTTGTGTTCCATCGTTCTGAATTACATGTAAATTTGTGTTCCATCGTTCTGAATTACATGTAAATTTGTGTCCCTCCCCTCTCTCTCACCAGTGCAGTGGGGAGCGAACGTCCTTGTCGGACGCGTCTAGGCGCGCGCCTCCCTCAATGAGTGCCTTCACGACTCTATCCCTCTCCCTCTCTCCCTCCCCTTCCCCTCTCCCTCCCCCTCTCCCCTTCCCTCCCCCTCTCTCTCACCAGTGCAGCGGGGAGCGACCGTCCTGGTCGGACCCGTCTAGGCGTGCGCCTCCCTCGATGAGCGCCTTCACGACGTCGGTGTTTCCAATCTCGCACGCGCGGAAGATGGCCGTGTGTTTCATGTTGTCGGCTGCGTTCACGTCTGCTCCGACCTCGAGTAGCAGACGCACGGAGCTCGCGTGGCCCGACAACGCCGCCGCGTGAAGTACTGCGAGGAAAGTAGGTGGCAGCATCAGTAGGGGTAGCAGTAGTAGTAGTAGTAGTAGTAGCAGTAGCAGTAGCAGTAACAGCAACAGCAGTAGCATCATCACCACCTCCACCACCACCACCACCACCACCAC